ACGGTAGGAGGGTAGGTGGTGTGTGTGTGTGTGTGTGTGTGTGTGTGTGTGTGTGTGTGTGTGTGTGTGTGTGTGTGTGTGTGTTATTGTGAGAAAGAGAAGGGACAAAGAGCGTGTGTACGTATGTGTGCACGTGTGCGTACCTGTCTTTGAGGCAAGAAACTCTGCTGCGTAGACGGGGTCCCTGTGCGATTGCTCGACGGGCGATGTCTCCAGCGGCCGCGAGCCCTTGCGCGTATCCCAGATGGCAACCTGCCCGTTGTAGCACCCGCCAAGCAGGATGTGCACGTCCTTCGGGTTGTACCGCAGCGACACCAATGGCGACGACGGCGACAGCGTAAAGTCGGGCATGTTGGGCCGCTCTGGTCGAGGAATTGGGGGGGGGGGATGGGTGGAAGTTGGTGGAAGGGTGGTGGCCGAGGTAAAGGGCAGGTGTGCACGGTGAGATGGGTGTGGAGGGAGCACGTGTGAAACACTGAACATATCGGCGCATTCACCGAGGATACATCTCAATCACCCTCCTGGCATACACAACACAACACACGCGCGCAGACGCACACACAACACAACACAACAACACATGCTGCGCTGAAACGCGTGGTGTCGCACCAAGGTCCCAGACGTAGCTGTCCATGGAGACATCGGCCGGCGCCTTCTGAAACTCGAGGATGCTGTATGCAACAGCAAGCTTTCGTGCGCCATCGGGGTACCACGACAGCCTGCGCACGTTCCCGCACGAGCACACATGCATGGTGCACGACAGTTGGCATGCGAGTGGGTTGGATGGAAAAGAGAGCGATGCAGAGAGTGTGAGTAAACGAAAGGTGGATGGGGTCAGTGGTGTTGGAAAGAGCCGAGGAAAGAGGTGCGGGAGGGGGGAGGGTTGCAACGCCCATGGTTTTCTGTTTTCTGTTCTTTGAGCGGACATGCGCGTGTCACACACACACACACACACACACACACACACACACACACACACACACACACACACACACACACACACACACACACACACACACACACACACACACACACACAAATTCAAACGTACGATGAGGCGGATCGCGCGGGTGTGCAGGGGTCTCTGAAGACGTTGACCATGGTGGCGGCTGGCGGCTCAAGTACAGCCGTCTCGCTCTCGTGCGGGAAATACTCCTCGTAAATGTCAATTGCATTGTTCTGTTGGATAAACGTCTCCATCATCTGCAACAGCGAGTATGCGAGTGTGTGTGTGTGTGTGTGTGTGTGTGTGTGTGTGTGTGTGTGTGTGTGTTTTGTGTTGTGGTGAGACAAAGTGTGGTGAGCCTTGAGAGGCGAAGCAGGTAAGGCAAGGGGTTCAGAACAGCTGCTTGTGGTTGGGGGGGGTGACAATGTGGAAACCACGTACCCCTCCCAAGTTCATGATGGTTTCCTGGAACGTTTCGTCCTTCTCCACCTTCTTTCTGTAGCGCATCACCTGCTCCACCTGCACAAATACACACACATGTCAATAACCCACACGTACACGTGGGGCGGAACAAGACAGGGGTGAGCAGTCTGCAGCCGGCTACGAAGCAGTCTGTGTATGATCACGTGCAGCGTGCGCTGTCCGCGCTTTCCATGAACATGCATGCGTGGCAGGGTTGATTGCGTACCTCGTCTGGATCAATATCCTTTGGCCAGCCGCCCTCGACATGGTTCATTCCACTGTCCTTGAACTCGACCGTCTCTGTGTTGACCTGCGTCGAGGTAACAGGCACCGGCAAGCCACACAATCCACGCATCACACAATAATTTACCACATGAGACAGCGCCCACGGCACAAGACAGAAGGGTGATGTACATTTCCATACAAAGGTGCACACCTGCACTCACAATTGTTCCCACGCACACACGCACACACCGCAACAGTTGTGCACACGCACAGTTGCACACACACGCACACAACTACAGTTGCACACACGCACACACATACGCACACACATACGTACACACACACATGGACGCAGGACCGGCTGCGCACCTCATGTTCGGAAAAGTCCTTCGTGCATTGGATGGCAACATCGGCAGGGTTCTTGTAGATGAACTCGTCACGCTGGCCTTCATCGGGCTCGATGTTCACCATCTCCTTCGCCTTGCGGTCGGAGAAGACGCATTGCCGCCCGAACTCGCGGCGCTTCTTCTGATACACGTGTACAATCTCCATCCTTGCCAGCTATCTCTCAATCCCTGACTCGGCCGATGTGGTGATGTGGTGCAACCAACAACAAAACAAAGCACGGCGGCGTACGATCTTCAACTTGACTGCGGCAAAAGACCGGGTGAAGTACGCACACACAAACGCACAGGCCGCTTGTTCGTTGGTCGCACTTTGTCTGCGAAGCGTGGCGGCTGGTTGCTTGCCCTTAACTGTCGCTTGTCCAGCGGGCTGGGTGGCTGCTGTTGGTGTCGGTGTTAGGTGTTAGTGAGTGGCCCCAGCAACAACAGTCGTATCTGCTTGCTGCTTCTCTGCTCCGCTTTCTCTGTTGCCAAGTGTGCGCACTTTGTAACCTCTCAACAGCAAGTGTCGGTGGATACGTGAGCTCGCCCGCAAATTGTATGACTTGCAAGATAATTGGGACAAATAGTGTATTTGAGCAGGCTACGATTTCGATAATTGTACAAAGTAATCATGGATACGGAAGTGCGCCAACAGCGCCTGCAGCTGCTCCTTGTCTGTGCGCAACAGCACACACGCACGCTCCAACAGCATCTGCCCATTCACTCGCTGCCAGGTCGTGTGTGTGTGTGTGTGTGAGCGTGTGAGTGTGAGTGAGTATGTGTGTGTGTGTGTGTGTGTGTGTGTGTGTGTGTGTGTGTGCGTGTGTGTGTGAATGTGTGTGTGAGTGAGTATGCGTGTACGTGTACGGCGTGTGAGTGCACGTGCGTGGGCTTGCACTTGTTGTGTGCGCATCAACGTCATCAAAGTTTGCATGTGTGTTTTGAGCTGGAGGAACAGCAACACACGGTTGAAACACACAAACAAAGAAACAAACACCCAAAGCAAACCTGTGCTAGCCGCTGCCTGATGCGAGGATCAACATGTCCTGCAATGCACACAATCAACAGCGATACCATGGGCCACTCTTGCTTCGACAGCACAAACGAGTCCGCCAGAATTCTGCACCCACACGCCACCCACCATGCAACAGTAAGATGCAGGAACAATGTGTGGGGCAAACAGACGACGAATATGGCGAGCAGAACTCACACAAGCAGACACACAAACAGAATGCACGCACGCACACATGTACACACACAAACGGAATGCACGCATGCACACACACACACACACATACGCACACGTGCACACATTTACAGCACGACACGGTGTTGCGCACAGGAAGTGATTGACGATGCGCCGAAAGATGTCTGCAACGGCCACAGTGTCCAACTTCAAGAATGACACCAACGGCGCAGCCCTGCACACGCACGCGCGCGCGCGCACGCACACACACAGAGGCCGTAGTCAAACGAGGGTGAGCAGCTGTGGCAGGGCAAGAAAAGGGCACGTGCTTCATTTCAGCACGCTTAAGTGGCATTCACAACAACACAGGCACACGACAACAAGCAAACAACACAGACAACCACACACACACACACACACCACGAACACAAGCCTTACCGTTGCTGCAACAGTTCAAGGAAGAGCTCCCGGCGCCTGTTGAGCTGCGCAATCGAGTCGACAGATGGCAGCAGCCGCTCAATCACGTCGCACCCAATGTCCCGCTCCCCATCCTCCAACATCCGGCGACCGCTGCCAACACCTTCCTGCCGTGTGGGCCCTGGTCGTTGTTGCTGTTGCTGTTGCTGTTGTTGGCTGTGTCCATGAAGAAAGGCGAGCGTATCTGCGTTGATCCACAGCGCAACGCTCTGTTCCAAGCTGAGGGCACGACGTGCAGAGGAAACCAGCTGATGATGATGATGATGATGCTGTTGTTGTTGTTGTTGTTGTTGTTGTTGTTGTTGTTGTTGTTGTTGTTGTTGTTGTTGTTGTTGTTGTTGTTGTTGTTGTTGTTGTTGTTGTTGTTGTTGTTGTTGTTGTTGTTGTTGTTGTTGTTGTTGTTGTTGTTGTTGTTGTTGTTGTTGTTGTTGTTGAACACCAGGGGCAAGACCAACGTCAACGGCAACGGCGCTGCTTTGGCCCTTTGATGTCACAACCGCATGATTCGCCTCGCCTCTCTCTTCCCTCCTGCTGCCCGCTTCTTCCTTGTCATCCTTGTCATCTTCCTCCGCCGCCTCCTTGTCTTCCTCCTCCTCCTCCTCCTCCTCTGGAATATCGTCGCTGTCATACTCCTCCTCATCCCCGTCCTGCCCCTTGTCTTCTCGCGCCTTGCTCTCGCTCTCGTCCTGCCCCCGGCCTTCCTGCTGCATCTCTTCTGTATTCCCTTTGTCCCCTTGTTTCCTCTCTATCCTCTTGTCTGCCTCATCGCCGTCCGTGTCCACTTCCTCCTCCGCTTCCTGCTCTGTCACGAGCTTGTCCAGGGATGCGCGCTGCTGCTGCTCACGCTGCTGCTTCTCCATCTGCGCCAGCATGGCCATCGCCTCATCGTGCTTTCGCCACATGTCCTGCTCCTCTGCACTCATCTCCACGTCATCCCCACCCCCACCATCGCCACCATCGCCGCCGTCATCACCACTGCGGCGCATGCTGTTGCTTTCGCCACCGCTGCCGCTGCCGCCGCTGCGCCGCAAGTGAGCAAGGGCGAGGTGCGCGCGCATCCTGTCGGCCATCTCGTCAAAGGTGTCTGGGTCAAACCCTTCCACTGCGTTGTGTGCGCCACCGTCGCCCGTTGGGGGCGCGGGCGGCGCTGCTGAGGTGCGGTGCTCTGAGATGGCGTGATCCGGCGAGGTTGTATCTGCTAGACCGCTGCCACTGTGCCGTGATGACGTGAGGGCTGGCTGTGCCATTACCCCTTGCTCTGCGGCCTGGGTGTCTTCCTTGTTCGGCTCTGGCAATACAATGTCGATGAGGTGCGGCTTCCCCGTGATTTGCCGGCGCAAATGCCGCGATGCCGCAAAGCACCGCTTGCTGCAGAATTGCTGCAAGCCACACAAAACACCCAAACGCATGAGTTTGCGTCTAACTATGTGTGTGTCTGTCTGTGTGTCTGTGTGTGTCTGTGTCTGTGTCTATGTGTCTGTGTCTGTGTCTGTGCCTGTGTGTTTGTGTGTCTATGTGTGTCTGTGTGTCTGTGTGTCTATGTGTCTGTGTGTGTCTGTGTCTGTTTCTGTCTGTGTGTCTGTATTTCTGTGTCTGTTGGCGGTAAGCATACAAAGTCACAGGGTGGCCTCACGTTGGCTTCTTGCATGTCGAGGAGGACGCCTGCATTCCGGTGCACCTTGTACAAGGCTTTGCGCTTTTGTGGCAAAGCACGAGCGCAGACGGGGTAGCCACAGCGCTTGGAGATGGCACGGTCTTCAACTGCGCTATCATAGTGGGCCTTGGTCAGCACGTTCGCCTGTTGGAGCGGGGCAGGGAGTGGGAGTTAGGAGCGGGGGTGGGGGGGGGGAAAGGGGAGGTGGGGAACACCCACAGAACTCGCAGCAACAAGTGAAAGGCATGACGCACACACACACACACACGCACACACACACACGCACACACACACACACGCCATAGTGCAAGCACATATGCACCCACGGACCGCTGCTTGTAAAGTTTCGAGTGTCACGCCATCCTCGCACAGCTTAAGGACATGATCCCAGCGAATGCGCTCCGCCTCCTTTCGCGTCAACAGGTCGCCCACCCGCCTGTGCTGCGGGGAAGCAGTGCCTGATGGCGTCGTGGTGCTCGCCATGGCTGTGGATGTTGTCTGTGTGGTTGTGGTGCTGTGTCGCTCACATCGAGCAGCGGACAGGTGAAACTGCCAGAAGCACCATAATGTGTAGTGGCAACAACGGCAACACCGACCAACAGGCGACGAACTGACACTGCTGCTGCCTGCTGCTGCCGTCGTTGTTGATGCCGTTGTTGTTGTGATGATGGAAGCGACAAAGGAGACAGAGATGAACGGTGGAGGGGGAGGGTTGGATGAGGCCACCGCCACCGCCGCCGCCAAGGCGTCCAGGAAGCAGAAGCTCGAGTAAGGCTTCGTTGGCGTGCGTGTGTGCTCTTGCATGCATGGTTGCTTTTACTTTGCTCGTTGGTTGGGGATGCGCCACATGTGTTCGCCTTCTTGTTTGCTTGCGGGTTTTGTAACGAACCAACACCACAGTGGCAGCGCTCTTCTTCACCTTGACTCGCTCACATCCACGCACACATCCACACACACATCCACGCACACATCCACACACATCCACACACACATCCACACATACATCCACACACCGCACAACTTTTGAACTGTGGTGTAGTTTGAGCAGCGGCTTCATTCGACACATCCAATACATGCAGCGAGTCCGGAACAGAGTGGAAGAAGAATGGCAACGTGAACAACAACCAGAGCGGGTGAGCAAAGCAGCAAGACAGCAGCAGATAGGCCACCCACGCAAACCCACGCGTCGGGTCTGTTTGCCCGTCTTGTCTGCTTATCTGCCTGTCTTGCTTCTGCGTGGGTCCGCGCGAGATGTGGCTTGTTGCTGTATGGGATTAATTGCTCTCCTTTGCTTCGACTCCTTGTTGTTTGTTTTCGTTCCACATCAGGTTGCCCAACGTGTCAAGGCCAACATGCCCACGAGCCAGGACTTGAGACGACACAGACAGGTGAAGAAGAGGTAGAGGTGGGCGAGAGCTGTGCTCATACCAAACAGTTTGCCAACTCACGGCGTTCACCTCGGCACGTGTGCTCGCGCTTGCTCATGGCCGTTTGAACCCCATTCGCTTGCGAACATGGACATGCAGCGCGAGCTGTCAAGGAACGGACCAAGCGGCAAGCTTGCTTCGAGAGCATTTGGTGGGGTGCAATGGATATGAATGGATGTATTGGTGCACTGTGCGACACAGCACGTACTGCACCAGGAGACTCGCCTTGCTGTCACCTCTTTTGTTGGTCACACGCGCGCTTTCATAGACTACGGGTTGTTTGCCTGACATGCTCACATCCCGGCCTACACGTGTCCTGTGTGCTTGATGCATGAATGCAGGGGCGCTGCTTGGAGGCGATGAAAAGAGGAAGCGGGCAAAGCCAGAGGGACCATCACCAGCATCATCGTCATCATCACCCTCATCAGCGTCGACAGCGTCGACAGCCACTGCCCAACAACGGCAGACAGCAGAGGCGGGGAAGGCCAGGATGCAACAACAGCAACAGCAGCAGCAGCAGCAGCAACCGGTTCAAGTGGAGGCTGGGCAGTCACCAAACATGCAGCACGCCGCCATGTCTCCAGCTGCTCGCATGCCAACAGAAACACAGCCGCTATCGACAGCACCGGCGATACTGGTGGTAGCATCGCGCCCACGCCCCATCTTCAAGCTGGAGGTTGAGCTTGATGACAACGAAACAGTGAGTGGATATTTACTGCCGCATCGGGCGTGCAGCACCTGTGCATCGTACACGCGCTATGACGGCGGTGGGGATGTTGTTAATTGATGGCCTCGCTCTGATGATGACGCTTTGGACAGAAAGATGAACACATTCACGCACGCACGCACATTCACGCACACACACACACACACACACACACACACACACACACACACACACACACACATGCACACAAACACATGCACACACACACACCATATGCAGGAGGTGCTTGTGGTGCGTGAAGGGGATGAGCTGGAGACGGTTGTGCAGGACTTTGGGCTGCAGCACCACCTGACCGACGAGCAGATTGCCGCCCTGACACAGCACCTCGTTGAAGAGTTCAACAAGGCCCTGCATCACCAGCCCTGACACGAGCAGCGACAGCGGAGGCAGCTGCTCTTGTCGCACGCTGCTGTGTTGGTGTGTGGGTGTGTGGGTGATGTGTCAGGATTGTGCGTGCACCACCGTTGGCGTGTGCAGTTTGCTTCTCAGGCTCGCTCTAGCCGACGTTTCTCTGCTGCTGCTTGAATGTGTGTGTGTGTGTGTGTGTGTGTGTGTGTGTGTGTGTGTGTGTGTGTGTGTGTGTGTGTGTGTGTGTGTGTGTGGGTGTGTGTGTGGGTGTGTGTGGGTGTGTGTGGGTGTGTGTGTGTGGGTGTGTGTGTGGGTGTGTGTGTGTGTGTGTGTGTGTGTGGTGTGGTTGCGGCGTCTAGTCGTCCTCGTCGAGTGCGCGCATCATCTCCTCGAGGCGGGCCGCCTCCTCCTTCAGCCGCTTCTCCTCCTCCAGCAGCGCTTGCCGCTGGTGCGTGGGTAGCAGGCAAGGGTTTCGAGGACGAAACAGCAGGCCGTTGGGGTGGTGGTGGTTCAGATGAGCGTGTCGCACTACACGGAACAGCTACAACGAGCAAGCAAGCAAGCAAACATTGCGGCGGAGGCCACAACAAGGGGTACCACCAGCGCCACCAACACCACCAGACAACAGCACCACCAGCCAAAAGTACCCACAGCAAACGGCAGCAGCGCGTGTCACGCCATGCCACGCGGTGAATCGCACCTCGCTCTCGAACTTCTCATCAATCTCCTTCTCGTATTTCGTCACTTCCTCAGACGTGGCCCCGCCAGTTGCCTCAGACGTCTGCACAGTGGCGGTGGGGGTGAGGGGTGAGTGCGGAGAAGAGGAGATGGGGAGAGGGGGGGTGGTAGGCAGGGTGCGGGTTGACAAGGGCATCATACACACACACACCACACCACACAACACACACACAACACACAACAAACACACACACGCACGCACGCAACACACGCCACGCGCAATGCTGCATAAGACATGCAAAACCAGTACAAGCACGTACGCCTTGGCTGGACTTGGCCTGGTTCTCGAGTTTCATGCGCTCCATCTCTTGCTTGAGCTGCTCCTCTTCTTGGCGGTACGCCTCTTCAATCTCCTTCTCCCGCTGCTTGCGTTCCTCTGAATAGAACGACACCCACACGCCACGCGCCACGCGCACGCATGTCAGCCAAGCCAAAGGGAAGGCAAAAACGTGCTGCGACAGCTCACAGTGCACATGTGTGCATGCATGTATGCAACGCAGCAGCAGGCGCGCATACAAAAGTGCAGCACTCGCGCACATACGCACATATGCACACACACACATACGCACATATGCACACACAGACACACGCGAGGACACAAATGCACTCACACATGTGCATGTGCATGTGCATACACAAGGCGCACCTTCGAGCAGTTCGGGTGTAATCTTGCGCAGCTTGTCAAAGGGAACCTTGCCGGCCTTGCCGCCAACGACCGCCTATCCAATGCAACGCTCAAAAGAATGAGAGTAAAGCGACAAAGCCTGGCATTACTGGCATTCGACCCCCATTAATCGTACGCACGCATAGACACACACCTCACCCATGTACACGCACACGCATACACACACACATACGCACACGGATACGCACACGGATACGCACACACACACACACACTCATACACACACACACCTGGACTTGGTTGTTTGCGTCGGGGCTACCGACAACAAAGACTGTGGCGCCCTTCTGCATGTCAATCTCGTCACTCTTGAAGTCATCCATGGCACGGAACTTCTCAACCTTGGCTGGCGCTGCACAAACAGCAACCATCGATACAGCACGCAGCAACGACAGCAGAAGTGACTATCTGAGCGATTGGTGAGCAAGCATGCAACCGCAACAAACACGCACGCTCACACACACACACACACACACACACACACACACACACACACACACACACACACACACACACACACACACACACACATACACACACACACACACACACGAATTACCTGCAGCAGGTGCGGCGGGCTTGGGCGCCTCACCGCCCTTGCCTGGTGGGAGAGGGGCGGCACTGCGTGAGCTCGCAGAGGCTGCAAGCGAAGCCAGCCGCTCTGCATGCGCCTTGTCGGCCTTGAGTGTGTCAATGTTGGCAGCGTCTGCACCCATGCGGCGCAGGCGTGCGGCAGTCAAATCCCTCTTGGGCGGCATTCTTTCCTGTTTGAGATTCAGCGGCTGTGTGTATGTGTGTGTGTGTGTGTGTGTGTGTGTCTGTGTGTGTGTGTGTGTGTGTGTGTGTGTCTGTGTGTCTGTGTGTGTATGTGTCTGTGTGTCTGTGTGTATGTGTGTGGGTGTGTGTCTTCACCAATAGAATGACATGTCCAAAGTGTGTGGGCGTGCGCAGCGTTGGCGCAGGGGCACAACACACACCAGCAGTAGTCATGCCGGCCACAGCCTAACACCGGCTTCACCCATCCCGCAACACTCCCACTCACACAACACCACTGCCAAACACAAACAAACCTCTCCTCTTGCTGTTGTATTGCGTGTATCCACCGGGTGTCTAATGCGCACCAAACACGAGTGGTTCCCGTGCGAAACATAGATTGCGACTGCAGGAACCTTGGGTTCCTGCGTTGTTTGTTGACTGCGCCTTCTCTCTCTTCAAACATCCCGCTTGAGGTTGTGCCTTCATATTATGTACGACGCCAGCTACTATGGCGGCTATGGACAAGACCCCTAACTCCATAAGAAAACACGCTAAAGGCTGCGGGCTGGAAGAATGCCAGCTCATACAAAACGCACAACGTACAGAACGTGCACACACACATTGCACAAACATGTACGTAACAATAGATGCTGACAGACACACACACACTCAAAGACACACACACAAACACACACACGCACTCAAACACACACACACACACACACACACAAACACACACACATACATACATACATACAAACACATACGAATACGTGCGTGGGTGTCACCGCCGCTTTGTCTTTGCGTCCAGCTCCTGCTCATGTTGGCGATGGTCCACCCGCTCCAGAAACTCCACGTCATCAAGATAGCTGCACGGCACACGCGTGCAGCAGGGAAAAGGTGTCAGGTGTCAAGACGCCAACAACAAAGGGAACACACAAGTGAAAACCAGAGACAGGGGAGGGAGTTGGCAGCTTGAACACACACACACACACACACACACACACACACACACACACACACACACACACACACACACACACACACACACACACACACACACACACACACACACACACACATCGTATCACATCACCCGCACTCACACCACATATCACACGCACTCATACACATACATCACGGACCATGCACGCCACCAACCTTGACTTCTTTTCCACTTCAGCGGCGGCTGGGTTCTGACCTTTAAACTGCTCCCAGTCCATCTTGGACTTGGTCTGTGCCACATCGCAGGATTGCAAGGATGAGCAGCGAGCTGCAACACATAAAAACACAGACTTGTGGGCGTCACGAATCACATGGCGCAGAGGGCAATGGGGGGGGGGAAGTGGTGTGCATAATCACACGACGACGCACCAGCGTACTGATGGACTGCTTCTTGTCAATGAGACCCATGATGCTGTCCAAGGCAGCGCCCCTATTGGATGGAGAGCAAAAATGGTGCGCGCGTATGTGTGTGTTTGTATGTGTGTGTGTGTGTATGTGTGTATGTGTGTGTGTTTGCATGTGTGTGAGCGTCATACACGGCTCCAACACCCATGACGGTGAAGACCACTGGCAGATGCACGAATACCACTGCACCAACAACACAACACAACACAACACAACACAACACAACACAACACAACACAACACAACACAACACAACACAACACAACACAACACAACACAACACAACACAACACAACACAACACACAGTGCACGAGCGCTACTCTGCGTACTTTGATGCCTCCTGGGCGTTGTGCACACGCTGGGCGACAGATCCAGCCTTCACCTCGTGCTTAACACTGGCAAGTAGGTCCACCACCGATCAGAGATTGTGACAACAAGACGCAGACAGGAAAAACACACACGCAGCTACACACGATCACTCACACGCACTCACACACACACACACACACACACTCACACACACTCACACACAGCTACACACGATCACTCACACGCACACTCTCACACACACTCACACA